TGGGTAAACATGCCCGCGGCGGTGTGTTCATCCAAACCCAATAGCCTTAACTTAAAACCTATGTGTTAAAAAATCACTAAGTACAAATAATGGATTTTGAACCCAATAAATTATATGGAATGTGTTAAAACTCTAAATCCGAACCCACAAAGTTCAATCCGCCTCTGTTTGGCATGCCATAGTTCAAGTTCTACCTGAAGTCCTTTAGTTGCTTTCTACGGGACAATTAGGTAGATAGAGCTTCTGTCATTTTTACTTCAGTTGTTGGTTGACATAAATAAGTGTGCTATAAAATACATATGCTAACTCTGTATGCACAAAGATTGTGCTAATAATAGGTCATGTTTGAGTTAGTTGAATCTATGTATCCACATTTGTACGAAGCATATCTGCACGTTCTGGTGTCGTGTTTCGTTTTGCTAGCTTTTAAATTACCATTTCTAATAACCATCTTGCTCTTTTGCTCCTTCAGAGTTTCCACAGTAATGGTGAGAGAAGGATCATTTGTGGTGATAGATAATGCCTGCAACAGCCGAACCTTCCTTCGATTTGGAGAAACAAGAGATATACGGGACATAGGCGTAGAACAGCCTGTCATAAGCCTAGTTCCTTGCTTTAAAAGCATTTTATATATACTTTTACTTGCTAGTTGTGACTTGTGAGTCAACTGGAATTTCATGTGTCTTAACTGATTGGACTTTTACTCTGTTTCATAAGTTTCAGTTCCAAGTTTCAAATGCAGACAATTGTTAATAGTAAGAGTAAGCAATCTTAGTATTAGCTTTTGAGAATTGAAAAACATTTAGGGTGTGTTTGGTATAAAGGAAAATGTTTTCCATGGAAAATGTTTTCTTAGAAAACAAGTAGTAATCTTATTCATTTTCCGGTGTTTGGTACCCAAATTAAGGAAAATGACTTTTCAAGAGTATTCATAAATAATTTAGATATAACAAACATGAAGCCATAAACTTTTAAACCAACAAACTTCCGAACCCACAAATTTTATAAATTTTCGAACCGCTAAACTTTCAAAACTGCGGAATTTCGAACCCGTAAACTTCATAATTTGTAAATCTGTAAACTTCCAAACACATAAACCTCGGAACTCATAATTTTGGAACTTGTAAAATTTTGAACATTTAAACTGATAAATAAATAAAAAATTAAAAACTGAAAAATATATTTAAATTTTTTCGGGGGGGG